ACCCTGAATCAAATTAAATGATTGGCGAAAAGAAACGAATTAAATGAGGCCACCTAAAGGCAATCAAGTGGGTATTATGCAGCACAGCTATTAAAAGCCAACGAGAACTTTCTTAGTCACAAAGGAATGCATCTTATCTAGCGGCTAGATAGCCTTTTTGATATGAGCGGTGCTAAATTGATTAAAGTTCATTTAAACTTATCAATGGTTTTAATTATGTCCACTTTATAGGCTCCCCTGCTAAAGGAGAAGTTCTGCGTCTGCCATTTGTCCACTGGCGACATGCTGCGGGCAGAGATTTCATCGGGTTCCAAGCTGGGAGCCGAACTCAAGAAGGTCATGGATGCCGGCAAGCTGGTCTCCGATGATCTGGTGGTGGACATGATTGACTCCAACCTGGATAAGCCCGAGTGCAAGAACGGTTTCCTCCTGGACGGATTCCCCAGGACTGTCGTTCAAGCTGAGAAGGTAAGCTCCATTAGAATGTCTCCCTATTTCCATCAAACTAAACCCATTTTACCTTGCATTTCCAGCTCGACACATTGCTGGACAAGAGGAAAGCCAATCTGGATGCTGTCATTGAGTTTGCCATCGACGATAGTCTGTTGGTGAGGCGAATCACTGGCCGTTTGATCCACCAGTCCAGCGGGCGCTCCTATCACGATGAGTTCGCTCCCCCCAAGAAACCCATGACGGATGATGTTAGTATAGAGTTGTTCCAAAGAAGTAAAGATTACAGAACGTATCCAATCCTTAGGTGACCGGTGAACCTCTGATCCGACGAAGCGATGACAACGCCGAGGCTTTGAAGAAGCGACTGGAGTCATATCACAAGCAGACGAGGCCCCTGGTCGATTACTACGGCCTGCGGGGACTGCACTTCAAGGTGGACGCAGCCAGGAAGTCCAGCGACGTCTTCTCCACCATCGAAACCATATTCCAACGCAAACGTCCCGCCCAGGTTCAATTATGATTTGTTCCTGCGCAGTGATTAAGTACTACTAACTGCCTCCTGACAATTTACTTTTGAGACACACCCACACACACCTAAACCCACACACAACGTTTAAGCCTAAAGTTAGAGTTGCATCTAGGAAATCAGCATCCTAAATAGACGAAATTACCATTACTCGAGAAGGTGTACAGGTACGACTACTTTCCTTGTACAGATTTCTAAAATGTATTAGTGTTTGTTACTTTTTACATTTCGCTATTTGTAACTACAATAAAACTTAACGAAAAACAAGTATATTTTATGGAAAACGTTTAGTTTGAATTACTGGTTGCGGTAGCGGGCTGTTTAAAAACCAATAATACGGTGAGATTATACTATACTTAACTTGTGGCATATAAAGCAAACTTTGAATTGAGTATTAATGGAAAGATTCTAATTGTTCCGGGAACTATTATAGCAATCACTAGAAAGCAAATATTGAAGGGTCATTTCGAACTCACCTCAAGTGTAAAAAATGAGAAATCGCTAATGGAAGTCGTTAATGAGATTGTTAAATTTGAATAAGAAATCAATTTTTACAATGTTTGCCCGTAAATAGTGGTTGCGAATCCCTCGCAGCCCAGCCATCGATCGCCATTTAGTGCACAGACGTCACTTGGCTAATGTTAATGTCATACTAAGTATGTATAACTATCGCATGTATATTATATAAATGTATAACGACGATTGACTAATCACTGGGTTGACTTTTCAGCAATAGCGATTTTCGCTTCAAAGTCTAAAGTGTGTGCAATCCCATATGGATACGAACTGAGCCCGAACACAGGCTTACAATGCGGTGTGTGTATTACACTTGAAGTTCAATCGCAAGTTTGCCCCGGTATAAAAGCCAACTTCATAGAAATATTTCTCAGTCAGTTCCAGCAGCTGCATTGCCTCACATCTACTTCGAGTCGAGTCTATAAGTCGAGCTCCATTGTAAGACCATCGTTCAAATGCTTCGCTTTGGTGATTTGTGCTTTATGCTGATCGGATCGGATCGGATCGGATCGGCTAGCCATTCATATTCATAGGCAAATGAGTGTGTGGCACAACCAGTTTCTCATCGTGTGTAAACAGTGACATCTTTTTAGAGCCAATAAATGTGTTTCAGATACGCATACAAAGTGGCGTTTGCCATGCATTAATTTGCATAAATATCTGATTCAGATATATGTATTTTGCAAATGCAGTGGCTAGTAAAAAATATTTCCATTGACATGAAACTGGTTGCGAAGTTACCCAAAAATTGCTGATTAATGATGAATGTTTTCCCCATTTTTACCCATAGCCAAAACCAAAATGAAGATGATACTTGCGCTCTTCGTCCTTGGAGTCGTCCTGGTCGCCGCCGATGATAAGTACACCACCAAGTACGACAACATCGATGTGGACGAGATCCTGAAGTCGGACCGCCTGTTCGGCAACTACTTCAAGTGCCTGGTGGACACCGGAAAGTGCACGCCGGAGGGTCGGGAGCTGAAGAAGTCGCTGCCGGACGCTTTGAAGACGGAGTGCAGCAAGTGCAGCGAGAAGCAGCGCCAGAACACCGACAAGGTCATCCGCTACATCATCGACAACAAGCCGGAGGAGTGGAAGCAGCTGCAGGCCAAGTTCGATCCCGAGGAAATCTACATCAAGCGCTATCGCGCCACCGCCGCCGAATCCGGCATCAAGGTGTAAATTCCCGAAACTCCCGGAATCAATTCGTTATACGCAATGTTAATTAGGTCTATGTACACATCTGTTCATCAAAATTATTATTTTACGATCGTGCGCCGAATAAAGAGATTTGTTTTGTACTCCACGCCTTTGGAATTGTTCTCGAACAGAGGGTTTGTTTTCTTTTTTTCCAAAGTATCAGAAAGCATATCAATTAGTTTTGTTAAGTGCGACAATTTAGTCCGGTCCCATTAATGATGACTAATGTAGAGACAATTAAACTCTTAACAACCTAGTCACAACAAGATTACGTCTAGACCTCAATTTACGGTTTATATATAGCAAGCTGATTTGCATAAATATTGCAAGTGAAGGCAGTTACGGCTAGTTGGCAATAACATCGCGTGTTCGTCTTGCTTCTTAGTTATTACTTATATTATTCTTAAAAGGGGCAATGAAACGATTCCGATGGCCGGCAAATAACTCAACCATGAATTAACGTCCTTCAAAGAACAAACAATGTATTGCGAATTATTAATGTCACGGCAAGTTCACATCGTCATACGAAACACAAATTAAATATTGTTATTATTATCAGTATCTTTTAATTATCTTATAAATGTACAAAGCTTAGTGTAAAATTGGGGGCAGAACTCGAGAGCGTTTACGTTAATGTTTCACCCTGGGCGACGCACGCTTCCAAATAGTCAATGCGCCGCTCAAGGATCGTTAGTTTTTCATTTAGAACCGCCAGACGGGAGCGACAGGACATATCTGCAAGGAGGGAAAACTACTTTAGATATCTTGTAACAGCAGAATAAAGATCGTTAAAATAAATGGTAGCTAATGAGTTGGCATTGAAAAAAAAAACTAACTAAAAATGGGTATACTAAAATAGTTTCAAACTCATTTTAATAAGTACTATGACTATGATTTCAAAAGTGGATGAGATAAAAAACTTATATTGTTATAATATAGTTCATTTGGTAAAGCAAAAACAACTTTAGATATCTAATAATAACATATCTAATAATAAAATAAATGATAACTAAGGAGTTGGTACCTCAAACTGATTTTAAATAAAAGTAATGACCATATTTTCATAATTTCATTATGGTATAGTTCGTTTTGAAAGGAATATAAATAAGGAATATTTAAAATAATAGTATAATAGTAATTCTTTTTAAATGTATTTCCTTTTGAATAGGATTAGAAAATGGTATGCCTTCTTTCAGGGATATTAAATGTTAGTCAGGATATAGTATCGCAGTTAAGGAATATAAAGATTTCTGGTCTCCCAGTCATATCAGAATGTTTCTATAAAATTAACTCGCTCAGTTAAAAAACTACTGAATACGTATTAACTGATCTGCCAATAGGAGTACTGTCCGAATTTGCATGACTTGCCGAAGTCAACTTCCTTTCTCGTTTGTTTACCACTTATCACAGTACCAAGTTATTCATAAAAGAACAGATAACATTTACTTAACTTTAGTGAGTAATCCGCATGAATACAAACACCAACTTTAGCTTTTGAGCCTATTTGGCTGCATACATAACAAGCACCAGTTGTGTTTGCTTTTTATTGACTTACAATTTAGTGTAAATAAAGTCAATGGCATTGATAGAGATTTGTTAGCAATAATATTCATTCGTTCATAAATACAAATACTGCGAACGAACACACTCACACATACACATGCGAGCAGAAGTAAATGTGGGTGCGACTACGTTTTCTTACCGAAAGAGTTCAGAAAGTCGGTAATTCGCTTTATGCTGGCAGTTATTACTTCGATGTATTCCCTGTTCGCCCAGTCCTGATGGATTTGCTTTTGAATCGCCTCTCTATGAGCCCCACTCATTTTAATTTATTAAAATGTTTACTGATAATTCTGGGTTGGAGTTTACAGTGTGGCCGGAAAATTTGAACGAAATACTGTCCGGTATACTCAGTATACCAATCTCATTTAAAAATATACTAAAATAAAAATAGATACAGGGTATTCCCTAAATGTTGGTCAGCTGTTTTGCTCTTTATGACCTCGGTTGGAATTTTCAACAAATGTGAAACTCCGATTTCCACAGATTTCAGCTGAAATCGGAAGGACGATGTGCTTTATGGAAATCGAAGTCTAATTTTTTTCAAAAATCTCAACGGATTTTCAGGGATGGACTGCGTTGGAACAGGGCTGCAGGGCCTGCTCTGTGGGAATAGGCTATTACAGATCTGACAACGCTGCAATCTGCTTCTTCTTGCAGACCACTGAAATTCTATCGTGTAATGCGGCCCCAGGCCATTTTATGTTTCATGACCATTCGTTTCAACCACAGAACGATAGTTATTGATGCCACACACATGGATACAAGCATACACATACACTGGGGACCGTAGACTACAGTTTTCATTTAGTAAACAAAAATGGACTTCATAGACGATTTTATAGAGGAATATAAATGCAATCCGTGCCTGTGGAAAGCGGACTCCGCGGACTTCAGGAACCGCAGTCGGCGTCAGGAGGCGTATTCGAAATTAATAGAGGTCGCCACCAAGCATGGGGAAATGTACAATGTCGAGCGAACAAAGCAAAAGATAAACAATCTACGCTGTGCATTTCGTCATCAGTTAAGGAAATACAACGAGGTGAAGAAAAAGGGCGAAAAGTACGAGCCCTACTGCCCCAAAAGGCGTTACTTTGAGTCGCTGATGTTCCTGAAGGACGAGGAGATACCGGACAAGAAGTGCAAGCGCGAGCAGGCGGGATCGGGATGTCTGGATGGCGCCGTCCAGCTGGTTCAGCCGGAGAACTGCGACGAGTTTTCCGACGCCGAGAGTCTTCCCAAGCCGCCAAAATCGTCGGCGGACACCAGCAAGCTGTCGCCCAACAACAGCGCCAACGAATTCTGTGCCAATATCTTCGAGGAGGCCACCGCCGCTGACCCCATTATCAGTATTAAGTCAGTCAATGCAAACAACCATGCTGGTGGGGCCACCATCAAGGAGGTCGAAATCGTAGTGCCTGCGAACAACAGGCTGTTGTCCGCCCGCAGAAAATCCGTTCCCGACACGATCAAGTCCCCTACCGGCGACTCTGAATCGCCTGGCAAACGCATCGTGGCTCATAACCAAAACCAGAGCCAGAACCAGCCGAAACCGAACCACAATCAGATCCAGAAGCCCAATCACATCGTCCGGAAGCGATCTTCGTCTGTGTCCTCGCAGGTATCGGAGGATAATGAACCGCCGGCAGGGAAATTCCGGGCAGACATCTCCACCATTGACTTCGAGCGACTCTTTTCCCTGGCCTTGAAGAGTGCGGACAGTCAGGTGGACGATCACTTCTCGAATTTTGGGAAAATCATTGCCCACAAACTGCGCTCAATGGACGGCACCCAGGCCATATACGCGGAGAAGATCATCGCCGATGTTCTGTACCAGGGCCAGATGAAAATGCTGTCCACGCTTAGTATACACCAGTTTTTGGGCGTCGACAATGCAACAGTTTATGTGGAGAGCCATAGTAAATGATGGCCCCTTTTAAAGACGTACTTTAAGAGTTTATGTAAGAGTAAGGTGTAAAATACATTCATGTGTGTAAAGCTTTGTTATTTTATTCTATTGTGGCAGTACCTCTATCTGCTAAGAAGAAGCCCTAAAATCAAGAACTCAAAGGCCAAGGATGATGTCGAGACTAATTTATTATATTCGATGCATGAGAAGAACATTTAATTGCCATATTCAGGCACTATCGTACTTTCTTAGGAGCATGGCCCAAACATCAGGGTATCTAGTTTGTAAAAATGTGGTCAGCTTTTGCGCCTTTTGAGCCTGTTGTGGGGAGCAGTTTCTGCATTTTCTGGTTATAACTTCTGGCAGGGCAGCTGTAAGTAGGCAACAATGATTCAGTTCAAGTTTTGTGAAAGATGATGAATTTAAATTTGGAATTGGCCAAGTTCCATGGGTCCTAATTGAGGTACAAAATCAAATACAAGTAGATACCTTTGAGCTGTAGCCCCAGGGTGTCGCATTCGCTTTTTCCCAGAATGCACATAATTTGGCGACTGACCACCACTTGGTTGTTCAGCAGTTTGTTTATGTTTCTCTCATCTGCTTGGACACTCGATGAAATCAGAATGATTAAGAAAATAAAATTAACGACCAAAGAAAGCACTCGGTTTTTATTTAGAAGTAGCATATCTCCTTCTTGAACGCGCGACTGAATGTGGAGCAGAAACTGTGTATCTGTATCTGTAGATATAGATATTCGTGCATGCGCAAAGGAGCTGGACTTGATAAAATCATGTGTAGAGTAGGGTTGGTACGGAATCGGTAAATAATGCGACAATAATCCCACCGAAATGGGGAGCTATGTCATCTCGTAGCTGCATTTACATATATCCCTTGCAGATACTCTACTCCATACAGCATTGCAATGGGATGCCAATGAAAATGGCTCATATTGTATCTCTTAAAAGCATTAAACTGAAGTACAGGCAGTTCACAAAAACCAGCTAAGCCCACCCTTTGAGTAACATGTAAATAAATAGCTTTCAATGTTGTTTGCGTTGTGCTTAAAAGTTATTCTTTACTGAAACAACACATTAAGTACTTTGCAAGGCAGTCAAAGACAGAACAGAAGTATCCTACATCGCTACAATTATATAATAGATAGTGTGTAGAGTAGACGACTTAAAGTACAATTATATAGATTTAATATGTATGTATGTATGTCTTATATACATTTCCTAAAACTTGAAAGCTTTATTTAAATATTTTTACATGCAAGTATGAAAATACATTTGACAATATAGCGAAATATTATGTTTTATTAATTTCTATTGCGATACAATGGGGCTCTTTTTGTCTATGTCAGATATATTCGCGTTGTTCTGCGGGGCAGCCCCGTTCCCAGGGCTGGCCGGGATGGCTCCCGCCCGGTCGATGCTCCACGGATTCGAACCGGATATGGGCGAGTCGGCATGCCCGAAGCCGGTGTGATTATCGTGCTCCACGGCATTGGTTCCGTCGTATTGCGTGTTCTCCAGCCGTGTGATCAGCCGCTCGTCCTCCTCGCCGAATTCGCCGCCCATCAGCGTCGGTTCGCCGACCACCATCACGTCCTGCGAGGAGAGGGAGAAACTGGGGCCGGAGGGGGAGCGCTTCTGGTTCGTCACGGGCGGCGTGTTCGAGTTGTTGCCGCCGCCCGAATTGGAGCCCTTCCGTTTGCGCCGCTTATTGGGTGGCCGCTGCGGATCCTTCTTGCCGGGCGGGGCCACCATGCGCTGCCACTTCTGGAACAGCGTGGTCTTCAGACAGTCGCGCGGACTCAATGCGTACGCCTTGTGCCGCGACATCAGCTCCTGCATCGGCTCGAGGATCACGCACAGGCGCAGATAGTTGAGGGTGGAGTTGGTGATGCCAGCCCGCGTGATGTTCTTGGTGATTTGATCTAGCAGCATCGGATCGGGCGGCAGACTGGTGCCGATCACGGACCTTGGAATGAGCTCGCGGTGTCCCTTGATGGTCATGTGCCACGACTTGATGCGCATGTAGTCGTCGTACATGAACTCCAGGATCAGTCGGGCATCGGCGCACACCTTTGTGAAGAAGGGCTTGCCGTGCTGCGTGATCACCGTGCACTGGTCGCAGTCCAGCGTGATGGACGTGTTGTGGAACGACTCCTTGGCGTGCTTTAGCTGGAAGTACAGGTCCGAGACGCCGCCCTCGTATATGCTGCGAAAGAAGCGCGGGATGAGCGTGCGCCCGATGGTGTACCGCTTCGGTCCGTCCTCCAGGCAGAACAGTATGGTCAGCCGGGCGTCGTCCTCGAAGAATTCCGTGGTGAACGAGTCCCACCAGCAGTTGTCGCTCTCCTCGTTGCGCTGCTGCAGTCGCTTGTTCAGCTCAAAGACTCTGTGCTCCGTGTGACTGAAGTAGGAATTGTGCCGCCTGAAGCCCTGGTCGATGCGCTCCATCTGCTGCGGCCCGCCCATCATGGGGTGATTGCCACCGTGGCCGAATGGCGACGCCGGCGGCATGGGATTGAACTGCCCGCCAACGCCGAAGACCGTGGGCGATGAGAAGTGCCCGGCCTGGCCGCTGTTGAACGGTGTGCCCGAACTGGCCGGCCGGCTGAACTGCCCCAGTCCGGAGGAGGGCGAGCCGAAGGGTCCGCCCACCGGGCCGTTGAAGTTGCCCGCCGTCGCTGACTGCTGATAGTTGCCGGGAATGTTCTGCGCACCAACAGGTCCGGGTGTCGATGAGCCCGAGGGAGCAGGTGAGGAGGTATACTGAGGTGTGTTCGAGCCAGGCTGGTTGGAGTTCTGGAACACGATGGACTGGTTGCCGGCTGGCGAGGATTGGCCGGCGGGCGGATAGGGATTGCCGCCCGAATTGTACGGCAGGCCGCCCTGCGCGAAGCCGCCCTGGTTGTTGCCGTCCGGATTCAGGGCCGCCGAATTGGACGCGGGCAGCATCGATCCGCCCTCGGAGACCGCCTTCCAGCTGCCGTCGTCAATGTTCGCTTGAGAAGTCATCGTATTGCCAGTGTTCAAACCCCTACGATTCATGCCTGTGGTCAGTTGTATCGGGCATTCGCGTCGGCCTGTAATCCCAGAGAGAAATGCATTAGATACCGCACATTATATCGGCAATTTCGGAAATTTCGGCAATTTCGGCAGTTCGGTATATTTATATGGTGGCACCGTGCGTATGCCTATGTGTATGCACTTGTCTATATGTCCCACTGCATTGCATTTACAAAATATGTGTGTACACACACACACTTTTCACACGGCCCATTCACACTTCAAAACGGAAAACGCTGCCGGGAGCCGAAAAGATTGCAATTAATTGCGGGCAGGTAGCTTCCGAATACGCACCTTTGCAAAAGGCATACAAATTTTTAATTCTTAAAGCACAAACACATATAAATGTATCTACAATTTAAGAAAACTGATTGGCCTCCACCGATAGTTTTGCCATCGCTTTCCAAATAGCCAATTTCGATAGGAATGGAAGCAAGCGTTGAGATTGTTTCAATTGTGAAACGACTGGGAAGAAACATTACTATTTACGAATTGCTTTTATATAAACTTAAAATTATATTAATAATTAAAGAAATAATAATTATTTTTCTGTAATATATTTTTAATATAGAAATATTAATAATAATTTGCAAAATAAAAAAAACTATTTCACAGGCTTGTGCCAACAAGTCTTATAGATTTATTACTTATTTCGATTCATTTCAATTATGTTTAAGGTTTCAAAATTTTGCAATAAAAATTACTCTATTTTTTTTGTTTATTAGTTATTTAGTGCTTAAATAAAAGTATATCGATACTTATAGCCGATGTCGTGAGTGAAAAAGGTTTGCCTCCTTTTTGTTTCATTCCAGTTCAATTTCAATTACTATCGTGCCGCACCCTTGACTTAATAATTTAGTATGTGCCGTATTAATTTGTAATCAAAATATGGTTGTAAGACTGTTGCTTTAAAAATCTGTAGTTTACTTTATTTTTATGTAATTACCGCTTGGTTTCACCTCGAACCTATTGTGTGATGCGCTCACTTGTTGGACATTTCTGTATCAGTGTACTTGTGTAGGTATGTTTTCTATAAACGCCATTTATTTCGCACATTTCCAAAAGTTTGTTGTATTATAAACAGTTTTTTATGAATTTAATATACGCTTACCTTAGTAAACCAACTACAGTTATATTTGAAAGCGTTTAGTAAAAACGCCCTGCTTTTTTCAAAAACTTGTGAAAATGTGCTTTGCCATGCAGTTATATATGCACATTCCCAATTCTGTGTATGCATATATGCTGCATTGTGCGTTTCTTACACTCTAAACATTTTTTGTATATTCTGCAGAGCGTGGAAAAATGTCAACTGAAAGCCTTAATAGTTTGAGCGACAAGGAGCTGCACAGGAAGCTAATCCAGAGCGGTTTTCCCAGCACTCCAGTGACGGAAACAACGCGAGCTGTTCTAATTGAGAAGTTGAGGAAACACGCCCGAGCGGACAAGCTGAAAAAGCGGAGCAGCAAGTACGTACTGTACTCCAAGGAGCAGTCGGAATCGCCGCCCTATCCGCAGTACCCCCAGTTCCACGCCCCCCAGCCCCCTGTCTACGCCAACGGCCTGGACAACAATAACGATCTGGAGATGAGCCGCAGCTCCTCGGTTTTCAATCGCAGCTTCGACGAGAACGACTCGAGTCCGCTGCAGTTGTCCGCCTCTAAGATGTACGCCCCGCCGCCTGTGGTGGCCTCCAATTACGATGGCGACTGCTCGCCCCACAGCCTGGGCCTAAACGGCAAATACCGGCAGCAATGCTCCATGCCGTACGCCATAGACACGTCGAATAACTATGGAAAACCGAGCGGAAAGATGAAGATATCTGATGGCGGCGTTGTTAACAGATTGCTCAGCTTTCGCGATACCACAATCCAAAGGAAATTTAACTATTCAACACCTCCGGCGTCGAGAATCCCGCCAAGGAACGAAAGACTGGCCCGATTCGCTTTGTCGGACATCAGATCGTTTTTCAGAAACCCCGACATCAGACCCTCCATAATACCAAAAGTGCTCATTTCGCTGTTCTTAATATTTCTGACAATAATCACTGTTCTGTATGTGGGCAAAAGGTTTGAGCAGAGTCCCATCGACAAAACGGCACTGAAGTACACATTATGTAACCCCAACGAATTGCAACTGCTCAGCGAACGGGCGAATTGCATAGCAAAAGATTCGCTGAGGGGTGCGCTGGAGTTGAGCGAGGTGCTCTACAGGCATCTGAACGAGCGAGCCAGGCTCCATCACTGCCAAGATGGGAGTGTATCGCCCACCCTGGAAATTGGAGAGTTTGTGAGGGAAATGGTCAGCAGCCCGAAGACCCACAGGGGGAATCTGCACAATAACCTGTTGGCTGCCAAATATCTCATTGCCGAAAATCCACAGTGGAGTATTCAAGAGGTGGACGCCTCAAATCAAATTGGAAAGGGCTCGTACTTTGAGCTTTCCGAACCGAACCTGCCGCTCAAGTGCGTTATATGGAAGAAGATGACTCGTTTTTTCACTGTCATCGGTACGCTTATTTTGATAGTAGTTGGATTCCTCGTCGTCTACTTTGCGGTGGTCATTTACCGGGTCAAACAGAAGGAAGCCATGCTGGCTGTCGACCAGTTCTCAAAGGACATAATCAACGAGCTGATCTACTTGAGTTCCCAGTCCGAGAGTCCCGAGGTGATAATAAGCCAGCTGCAGGAGAAGTTTTTGCCCGCCAAGAAGCGCTCTAAGCACCTGTCTTCTTGGAACAGGGCGCTTAAGCAGCTGGAGAAGAGCGACAGTCGAGTGCTGTTCGGAATGGTCAATCGGGATGGTAAGGCGATGCGCACGATTGCCTGGAACAGGAATCTGGACAAGAAGGATCCGGGCCTGGTTAAGAAGTGGCAGAGTCCTGCCTTCGATAACTCCAACAAGATTGCCAATCCACCGACGCCCTGCCTGAAGATACGGCACATGTTTGACTCCTCGGAAGTGGATCAAGCCAACCTGAAGCAGTCCATCGTGGAGTCGATCATCGAGAAAGTGGGATCGCGCTGTAAGATCTGTGATGTCCAGCTGGACATCCAGTCCTGCTGCGTGTACATCCGATGCGCCAGCGAGGAGGACGCCGGCATGATACACAACGAGATCAACGGCTGGTGGTTCGATAAGCGCCTGATTTCGATTAAATTCTTAAGACTTGAACGCTATCTAAGCCGTTTCCCCAAGCCCTCGGCCGAGCCACTCTACTTTCATACCAGCGAGGCGGCCAACAACACTCACTCATAAACACACACACAACTCTACACTAGATACTTAAGTTATTAAATTGCGAATTTGTTTTACATGTAGAGAGCGAGTTTTTGTATTTATTTGGCTATTTATCAACTAAGTTTTGACCATAACAAGAAAGTAGTTTATTACTTTGACAGGGAGTTCGAAGACAGAGCACTTTCTCCTGTTTCCAAGTGTTTGATGAGACGGTACAAGGCTGCCGCTTCCTTGATCTTGCTGAATCCAACGCAAAAGGCTTCGATTTCAATGAATAATTCCTAGAAATGAGAAGTTTTTAGTATTGACTATGACCCTAGAATGGTAGATGTCCTACCTTAACGTTCACAATCTTGTTTCGAATCAATGATTGAAGAAATACGCAAACTAGGCGCACAAGTCGGGATTGCATGTACTTATCCTTAACTGTTTCACAGGTCGAGATACAATTGCTAATGTATAAGTGGATAAACTCCGTGGGCAATGGACCCGATGTGGTTAGTCTGAGGCAAAAGATGTACAATTAAAAGGGGCTTTAATGGATGGCATTTGCGGAAACCTACCGGTTGACCACTTCCATGGAGTGCAGTGTTATGTCCATATTAACCAATATGTTGAAATACTCAGTTATGTCGGTGGTCATCATCAGTCTTAATAAAATCTCAATGGAAATGAGTGGATTGTTTTCAACTAGTTGAGGTAGCTGAAATGAGTGTAATGTTAGGGCTATAAGGATCTGGATCTGCCACTTAGCAACCTACTTTGGCCGGAGTCAGTCCATATTGGCGTGCAATGTCCGTGTTCTGCTTTAGCAAATCGTCAAACAAAATGTGCTGATCCTGCAGACTTAAGGGCTGAAGAAAAGCCTGTTCGATGAGGTGTTTTGTGTTGGGAGTAACGTAGTTGGACTTGTCATACAAAATCTCCACTTTCTCGCTGTTCGTTTGATTTATCCACAGCAGCTCGTCCTCGAAGTCCATTAAAGGCGGCGCGATGGACAGAAACATATTGGCTTGTTATTTTTAATTTAGAGTTTATACCGCAACTTTTCATAAGACTTATTTTGTCCTAAAATTTGTAAACAATATAAATTAAATTTAGTGTGACCTTAAGGGAAAAGCCTTGAAAGCGCTGAACTTAGGAACAGCCATCAAAATTAGAAATATGTATGTCGATATTAATAATAGTTGTTAGTAAAAAGGCTTAATAATTAAACAACAGTTAATTACACAACTATAAACTATTTTATTTGCTTAAATTAAGCTCGTTCCAACTCTTCCATCGTTTCAATTCAGAGGCTTTGTGCTGATGCGCGCAATGCGTTAGTGCATTTGTAAGAGTGCTCCAGCCTCAAAGAGGACGGTCACATTGCGCTGCCTTCGTTGTAATCTGCAATAAAAAATGGACCGCGGCAAAGGCAGCGGATCGAATAGATCGCAAAAGAAGGTTCCGCTGGGCGGAGAACTCTTTGCCCTCGGAACCAAAAGCGTTCGCGATGACTCCAAATCCAAGATCATGCCCCTCAAGGCCATATCGTCGTCGGACAGGAAGCGGGAAGCCTCATCCTCGTTGGCCAGCACAAGCAAACGATTCCGGGGCAACATGAAGGATGCGGCCACCGCGGACATGTCGAGCAGCAGCCAGTGCGAGACGTGGGAACAGTTCGCCATCGACTGTGATCTGGAGAGCGTTATCGAGACCATCTATGCCGCCCTGGAGCAGAACGATAGCGAAACTGTGGGTCGGCTGGTCTGCGGCGTTATAAAACAGACAACGACGAGCTCCTCGCGTTCCAAGGTGGACAACATAGTGCTGCTGGCCCTGATCTACGTGGCCAAGCTCCAGCCGAGCATATTCTGCACGGACATCGTGGCCTGCGCGCTCTTGTCCTTCCTGCGGCGAGAGGCCAACGTTAAAATGAGGTACAACACCAACCTGCACATCCTGTTTGCCAACCTGCTGACCAGGGGCTTCATGGACACATCCCAGTGGCCGGAGATACTCCTTCGCGCCTACATAGACGACGCAGTCAACGAGCGCTACTGGGCGGACAACGAATTGTGCGCTCCGTTGGTGAGGAACATATGCGCCGCCTTCAAGACCCGTACTCCGCACATAAGTCTGCTGCGCTGGGATGTAAGCACGGCCACGGCTCTGCCCACGGGCACACAGGCGCACAGGGACAGCATGACCGTGGACGACGACTCCGGCGACAATTCCACACAGAGCCTGGATGCCAGTCCCCTGAATGCCGAATCGGAGCCCGTTTCGGATGCCATGTGCGCCATTAAGCCCAGGTACAGCGATGCCGTGGTGCAGAAGCACGTTAGCGATGCCATTCGCGATCAGCTCAACAAGCGCCAGCAGCAGGATAACTACACCAGAAACTTTCTCAAGTTCCTCTGCACCACTGCCGGCATTCCAGAGGTGCGATGTCTGAGCATCTCGCGGCTGGAGTTGTGGATCCACAATGGGAAGCTCGTAAAGTTCGCCCAGCAACTGCTCTCGTACATTTGCTTCAACATTAAGGGACGCAACACGCAGGACAACGAGGTTCTCTTGGTGCTGGTCAAGATGCGACTTAAAACCAAACCGCTGATCAATCACTACATGTCGTGCCTCAAGGAGATGATATATCTGCAGCCGGACATCCTGAGCACTGTGATGAAACTAGTCGTGCAAAATGAGTTGTCCAACACCAGAAATCCGAACAACATGGGAATGCTGGGTAAATAGATATACATCTCTGTAATCTAACCATTTAAATTAATAATTTTGTTTACCAACTTCAACAGCTACTATGTTTCAAACGTCTTCCGATCAATCGGCTGCAAATCTGGCTGAAATTTACCAGGAGTTCTTGCTTCAGCGGGACGACTGCCTGCGAACATTGCGTGTCTTTCTGAGGGAACTCGTGCGAATGCTGCGCTTCGATGTGAACCTGGTCAAGTTTTGCAAGACTTTTCTGAGCGAGCGGGAGGACCTCACGCCGCAAATCGAAATGTTTGAGTTCAAGGAGAGAATTTTCCACTCCATGGTGGACATTGTGTGCCTGTGCATGTTTCTGTCGGCCACGCCGCAGGCAAGGGAAGCCAGTTTGTCCCTGAAAACCAATCGGGATACGAAGAACAACCATGCGCTGCTTAAGCTCTACAACCAGATGTCGCAGATCCAACTGGACACAGTGTCCTGGATGTACGAAACAGTGCCCACTGTCTTCAAGATTCCGGCCGCCGAATATCACCAGGCACTGCATAAGCTACTGCTGCTGGACAGCCCGGAGCAGTATTCGCGTTGCGATCAGTGGCCCTCGGAGCCGGAGCGTGGGGCCATCCTGAGGATCATTTCCGAGACACCGATTCACGAGGAAACCCTGCTGCGCATCATATTGATCGGCATCACCAAGGATATTCCCTTCTCCATCGCCAACACCTTCGACGTCCTGTTGTTGGTCATTAAGCGAGTCTCTGGAATGAAGGCCACCAACATTCCGGCCGTGCAGGCCAACAAATTTGACATCATTGACTTCCTGTTCAGCATGTCTGAGTACCATCATCCGGAGAACATTCGCCTGCCGTCGGACTATGAGCCACCAAAGCTTGCAATCATAGCGTTTTACTGGAAGGCCTGGCTCATTTTGCTGATGATATCGGCACACAATCCCTCCTCGTTTGGAGCCTTTTGCTGGGATCACTATCCCACTATGAAGATGATGATGGAATTATGCATTACCAATCAGTTTAACAATTCGGCCGCCAACAAGGACGAGTTGCAGGTAAGAGATTGAGTTGTTAATTGTCGGCCTAAGTTGTAATCAGGACAATTTGTAGATAATCACAGTGGAAAGAGACCACATTCTGCAGTTCGAAACGTACTTGGCTGCCCAAACATCGCCGCATGCGGTTATCACCGAGGAGACGGCTATCCTGATCACCCAGCTGATGCTAATGGATCCCATGGGCACGCCGCGCAAGGTGCCCTCCATGGTGTTGGATCAGCTGAAGTTCCTCAACCAGACCTACAAGCTGGGCCATTTATTCTGTCGCTGCCGCAAGCCGGACTTGCTGTTGGACATAATCCAGCGGCAGGGCACCACGCAATCCATGCCCTGGCTGTCGGATTTGGTGCAGAACAGCGAGGGCGACTTCAGCCACCTACCGGTGCAGTGTCTGTGCGAGTTCCTGCTCTTCAATGCGCACATCATAAACGAGGAAAACAGTCGCGATGCTGAGCTGGTTAACTTCCTGCGCAATTTAATATTCGATGGCAACCTGAGCCACCAAATCGTTTGCGAGCTGCTGGATTACATATTCAGGCGGCTATCGTCCACGGTCAAGCAATCGCGGGTAGCTGCTCTCTCGGGTCTGAAGATTATCTTCAGGCACTCGGGGGACTTTGAGAACGAGTGGCTTCTGAAGTCGATCCAGCAAATCCCACACTTCTTCGAGGTCAAACCCTTCATTATTCCCCAGCTGCGGGCTGCCTGCCAAGTGGAGAACTGTCCGGAACTGATTATGGCCTATATCCAGTTCATTACGGCGCACACGCTGAACGATCCGGTGAACGAAATGCTGGATCATGTGATCGATATGGCGCAACTGATTGTGGAGCGCAGCACAATGTTCCAACACATCATAATTTCCCAGGAGGACTATGATTACGTGCCCGACGAGAACCGTATTCAAACCCTCAAGTGCCTGTTCGTCATGTTCAACAACTATATTATTAAGCTGCGGGAGTATCATGAGCCGTACGAGTGGACCGAATACCCGGACTTGCTGATGGTCCAGTTCGACGACGGAGTGCAGCTGCCCCTGCACATAAACATCATACACGCCTTCATTATCCTGCTCACGTATTCGAACAGCAACATGCCGGAGTCCATACCCATTTTGGACTATTGGTTCCCGCCCGGACGACCGGCCCCGGTGGCCTTTCTGCCCAGCATGCCGCAGGAGCAGGTGCAACTGTTGCCCGACTGGCTGAAGCTGAAGATGATCCGCTCCTCCGTGGACAGACTGATTGAGGCCGCGCTGAACGACCTGACGCCCGATCAGATCGTGCTGTTTGTGCAGAACTTCGGCACGCCCGTCAACTCGATGTCCAAGTTGCTGGCCATGCTGGACACCGCTGTGCTGGAGCAGTTCGATCTGGTGAAGAATGCCATCCTCAACAAGGCGTATCTGGCGCAGTTGATAGAGATTCAGCAGGCACGGGGCGCCAAAAACGGACACTACACCGTGCAGGCCCTCGATCTGCATTCCCACTCGCAGACCGTGCCGGATCTGCCGAAAATCAGTGTGGTGATCCAGGAGACCGTGGAAATCGGTGACTACGATTGCTTAGAGGCGACCAGTGGCCTCAGTGGCGACTTCTTGGCCACCAAAGAGGTGGCCCAAACCATTCTCACACAGCCGGATCACTTGACTGTGACGAGAAGTGATTGTCGATCCCTGATTCAGAAGCTGCTGGACATGCTAGTGAATCCGAGTAGCAATCGAGGGGATCTAGTGACCGCCATAACCGAGGTGTTGGCCATGGGCTGCGATGTCATCATGAGCCGGCATGCCTGCACTTTTCTGCGGACCTTCTTCAGTTGCATGCTGCACAGCGACAATTACCACATGCTAGAGAACACTCTGCAAAAGAACTTCAGTATTTTCAAGCACAATTTCACCGACTCCAGCCTGCTGCAGAAGACCGAGCTGTATCACGAGAGCCTGGTGTTTATGCTGCGGAATTCGCGTGAGATTTATGAGCAGCAGTTCAAGGCCAACACCGCCTTGCTGGCGAGAAAGCAGATCGTTAAGGGCATTATCGAAAGTTTCGATCACACCAAAGACTCCAAGGCAGTGGCGAAAAGCAAGAGCGACCAGCTCTTCCACAACGGACTCTTCATCGACTGGCTGTCCGAAGTGGATCCCGAGATCGTTTCCACGCAGCTGATGAAGGAGCACTTCCTGTTCTCCAAGTCCTGCAGCGAGTTCAGGTTCTATCTGCTGTCCCTGATCAATCACCAAACCAACTGGGACACGATCGAAAGGATTGCCGAGTATTTGTTCAAGCAGTTCCATGGCGACTACGACTACGCCACGGTGCTCAA